AAAAGTAAAGTTTTCTCAATAATGAGAGTGAAAAACAGATAATGATGACCAAATCACGTTTTTGGAGTACTAAAATACGTTTTGGTTAAAGAAAGTAGGATTAGGTGAGCTGATTTTTGACTTTCTCACTTGCAGATTTTTTGGTCGGATCAACCGATCCACTTTAGGATCGGTCGATCTAAGTGGCAATCGTCGCGTGGGTCGATCTATAGAAAATCCGGTAGTTTTTAATAAATTGGATTGATCGATCGATCCACTTTAGGATCGGTCGATCCGACCCCATTTTCTGCACTTGCTTCTTTTGCTTGCCAGATAGACATGTCTTCACTAAACTTTTCATAACTTTTGATCGCACCGTCGGAATGACTTTAAATTTCTTCCAAATGAAAGCTAACTCAATGTTCTAACGTCTGTCAAATTTGTAGTGCGATCCATCGGTGTAAAAGACATCAACAAATGCCAAACTTCCGACTCATTTCTGCATCTTTGCTTCCACTGCTTACTTCTTTGCATTAAACTCCTTCCAAACGTGTTTTAACCTGAAAAGGCTCTAAAAACAAAGAAGAAAGCATAGGTTATGATGCGTTAAAAATGCAACACATCAAAATTTGGGTCGGAGTTTTTCGATGCAAGGCCGCATAAAGAGAAAATCGTTCTCTATTTGTATCAGGATGGGTCTGAGCAGAAAATGACGGGGCTTCTGGTTAAAGGTGCTATAATTCGTCCCTTAAACTGAAGTAGTTCAAAGCATGAAGGAGTTCATATACAACAGCTGAAGAAAATATAATTACTCTTAACTTTTTCATAGTTTAATTTATACATTATAGAGTGTTTTGATAAATTTGTAAATATTTCAAGTTTCATAATCTTATACATCAAAGAATGTTTTGATAAATTTGTAAATATTTCAATTTTCTAGTTTTGTATACATTGTTTTTATACATTATAGAAATTAATAAAAAAAATTCTATATAAAATTTATATAGTCCCTTAAACACCATTTGTAAATTTAGCGTGTAATCATATTTTGTGGTATTTTTAGTGAAACGAAAGCGGTCTCATTGAAAATGCTCCATAAATTTATGGGATAAAAAAAATACAAAATGATGCTTTTAGAGAAAAATATTTATACTAAAACTATGAAAATAAACTATTATTAGTTTTGTTTTTATAAAAACTTTATGGTTATGATAACCTTGCTACACCAACTATTATTAGTTAATATGTTGCAAATCATCCGAAGTATTAAAATGTTCTCTGAACTTCATAAACTGCATTTGCACAAACCATCCAACTATTTATTACTAAACACTATTTTTTCAATGAATCATTTGTCGAAATTGCGTTTTTGAAGGTTCCCGACACAAAACTTGGAATACAACCGGTTTCAAAGAAAGGGAAGTAAATACGACCACTCTCTGAAAGAGAAAAGAAGATATGACTTTTCTCAAAGAGATGGTAGAAGGTGCAATTGCTCTCTCCCAAAAAGAGAAAATTACAGGATTTGAGAATGCAGGAAATTATTTTTAAAGAAGAGAAGCCAACAAACTCAAAAACATATAAGATTTTTGAAAATCGGATTTTAAATACATTGTGGATGGGTCTATCAAGCTAAATAGCCCAAACTTGATACTCCTTCTGAGCCAAGCCCAAGGCATTGGGGATGAGCCTATCAATAACCCAACTTTGATTCTCCTCTTGGGCCAAGCCCAAAAGTGATGCTCTTCATCGGGAACAGTGACCTCCGCGCCGGCCGATTGCAAATGATATCGGAGAGAGCTCCGACCATTTTTAATCTCGACAGAGGAAGGTCCGAGTATCGCCAGTGCCTCTTTCGATATACATCTCCGACGAGGGAGGATACATCTTATTTCTTTGAAGCGGCTCTGATATGGTAACACCGGACAATGAGAACAAGTGGAGACATAGCAGGGTGAAAAGGGTAAGAGGCAAGATGCGGCAGGAGAGGCAGATCCGGCGGATCTGGTTATTACGGAGGCATTTGCGGTTGAAGACCCTCTTGCAGCTCCAATAGATTCCTCACGGACAGCGTATTATCCTGGGAGATCGAACAAGCTTGCCATAGCTCAGCCATCACCAAGGAGAAGAAAGACATACCAATTGTAAAAGTTCTTCCCAGCAGGGAGAAAATTTCTTCGGGGACTTTGGGATTCTGAGAAGGAGGAGCTAGCCTCGGTCAGATGGAGATGGAGGAGCGGTGTTGCTGGTCCATTCTGCTCACGCGTCGGTGGCCTTGGTAAGCTTGCTTGGGAGAAGAAGGTCAGGGGCGAACTCAACTCGTTTTTTCTTGACTTTCTATCTCACTG